TCCGTAAAAGCTAGATGCATGATGATGCTATTGATATCCCTGCAGCCACCAGACGAGCATCACAGCAGAAGACATCATCAGCACCCTGCAGGCTCTCAACATGGTCAAGTACTGGAAGGGACAGCACATCGTCTGTGTCACTGGCAAAATCATTGGTAATTTTCTTATTTGTAGTGTACTCTCTGAATGTGTTAGCTTAAGTAATAAACAGAGAACATGAACTATTATAGAGGCAGCCCATTAATTTGTTCGGGCTAAAGATTAGTGGTAGATTTTTTTGTCTGTCTCTCGATGTCCAGAGGAGCACATGAGGAGTGCAGAGTACAGGAAGCCTCAGCTGACAGTGGACGGGGCGAGTACTTGAGGTGGAACCTCACACACAAGAGACACAGAACATAACACTCACAAGAAACACTGACTCTCATATTCTCTCATCTCCACCTTCTGTCATTATCATACATGTTGCCAGCAGTCAACTAAAAGTGGTCCATGAAGGGGGTTACATACTGATTAGTCTCTGGTGTCAGAACACAAGCAGTGAGAGCACAACTCCCAGAATCAAATTTTTTTCATGCAGGGGAAACCGCACACTTGCACATGTAGCTCAATAGTTATTGAACATAGTATACTGGCTGTCTTACAACACTGATTACGTGACCTATAATTATAGTGGATGAGAAACAGATGGAAATTAGTCTTACAGCTATGATACAAAAATAGGTATAAAAGCTTCAGTTCAGCACTTCCAGTAAAGGTGAATATCATTTTGGTAGGAACTTAAAGGTTCTGTGGATGTGGGCGTTGTGCCGTTTTCTAGTGTTGTCGTCACATGATGGATTGAGTTTCATAAGAGTGCAAGTATACGGCAAAGTAAGAGACTGCACATCTGTCAGCACTAACCTGGGGGAAAGCAAAGGAACACCTCAGCTGCATACCACAGGAGCAGACAATAGTTGTTAGCTTACTTCCCAACATAAGGGACAAACGTTTTGTAGTGACGCTAAAAAGAGGACCCGGTAATATGAGAATTCTCACTCTCCTGCTCACAACTACGCGGGCAGGCCAGCAGCAAAGTAATAAGTTTAATTATGTGGAAGCAAACTAATTCCACCCACTTATAACTCACCTTCCTGATAATTATGTCCTTTAGAGGAAGAACCCAGCAGTTCCAGCAGATTATCGCCAGATGGTAATAGAGGACGTGTCTGGCAAGGGGTTTGCAACTGTCAAGACAGTCGCTAACATAAAACTGACCAAATAACCTAGCAAAATGGAGGGTTTTAATATGTATACCGTCTTGCAAAACCTTCCTGAAAAGACGATGAGTGATTGTTGATCCAAAACCCAGCTCGAATGCATCAGGTGACTTACCTTCTCCACCAAAGGAAATTTGCTGTCCCAAAACGCAGTCAACTGAACGATACACACCCCTTGAATGAAGGATTATCACTTGATTGCAAATTTGTACCCCATACCATTACCAGATAAAAATGTATGGGTAGGAAAACTTCCTACAACGGGATGACTGCTTTGTCTTCCCTAAACAACCTAGTAGCTATGTATGTACATATCGCATGAATCAAACTATACGCTAAGGTTGATGTAGAATCGTGGCTCACTCTAGTCTGGTAAACTAAGCGACTGTGGAACAATGTGTCGGTGATGTTGATGGAACCACCTCTGAGGGTCTTAAAGGACGGTTGGAGCAGCGGCTTGTCCAGTACAGTGTTAAGCTTCAATTGGGGGTTCGACGGGGCAGAGCAGCAAGTTCATCTAGTCCAATTGGTGTAAGCATGTCTTCTTTGACGGACGGATCATTTAAGCAGTCATCTCATTCATATTGATGTGGAGCACAGCACTAGTCATGCATGAGAAGTTTGTTCAGATTCAATTTAAGCCAGCATTCTCATTCATATATGATTTAGCTCACAGAGTTACTCATGCATGAGTAAGTTTCAGATTCCAATGGACACAAGGCCTCCTGTGCGATGATGTTTTGGGATGAATTGTGACTGTTTGGCGGGTAGGTAGAGATTTCAGCAAGCAGATGATAGTCAGTATAAAGAGTGTTTGTGCTGCGCCAGTGGAGCGAGTGACCGTCTGATCATCTTTTAATAGCAGGAGGGATGCTAATCATTTCCTGGGAAAAACTCGTTAAAGACACGGTCATTGATGTCTATCTACTTTTATGAGTAAGTCTTACAGTTTTGTGTGGGTGTTCATAGTCGATTGGCGGTTCGGGAGGCTACCCTAGTTCAGGAGCTCTGGGTTTAGCAGCATTTCATATTCATGTGTAATTTAGATCAGAGTGTCAACCTCCACAGTGGCAAGTAATAAGCATAGACCCATGTTTAGGAATGGATCTGTGTACATCAACTCATTTCAGCAATGTGCAGTACACAAATGAGTTTCTTTGTTAGAGACAAACAAGTGAAGTGACTCTGCTCATGTCTATTCGGTCATGTCACAACGGGGAGGAAGACATCCATCATTTGGGGACAATGGAAACATCGATAAAAATACCATTGCACAACTCGGATATTGATTACCATCCTTTCATGTACAGGAGTGAGCGGTTGCGTTGTTTCTCTCTACAGTGAGTTCAATGACAGTCGATTGTCTGGCGACCTTGAAAGCAGTCAATAGCCTTGGTACAATTGGCATGAATTATGAGTGTGAATCGTAGCTCATAATTATGTTGGGAACATAAAGGCGAATTCAATGGAGAGCAATCAAGTGCATACTATAGTCACTTGTGTTCTAAAAATTCTGCTTCAACTGACCTTGGTATTTGAGGCTGTTTGACAACTATTCTTAGCAAGCAGATGAATGGTCGGTATACAAGATGGAATTTCTTTGTTTTCGGTGGCAACCAGCTAGTAGACTTCTTTTCATGTTAGGGAGGCATAGGGTCATACTAAATGATGACTCTTGTCAACATGGGTAATCCGTATCTGCATCACTACTCTTTTCATGACTGTTATAAGGATTGATCAGCGGTTTGTGTGGTCTTTTCTTTTAAGAGTATCATCAGTTTTTTAAAGGCTCGATGGTGGTGTTAGTCCGACACTGATTTCACTCAGCTCCAGAGGGATCACATCGTGCGTCACGGTCACTACATCGTTGTCGAGGCTCATCTAAGCGGCGATGCGGCTTCGGCGGATCGGATATCTACATCACGCCCATGGGCACGCTGTTGTAACAGCTACACGCACCTCTGGGTGAGTAATGAGCATGGCTGTGCATGCGTCGCAGCGCAACTGAGCTGACATCACCATTCACGCTGAGGTCCCCGGAGGGATTCCGGTCTGCAGGGTAATGGAATTGATCGCATTGCAGAGCGCGGGACAGGTAGTATCATTTGGTGTCGTAGTCTCGAGGATGGGATTCAAGCGACAGTATTGATGTTCATTTTGAGATCAGAGATCAAAGTGGGCAATAACATCTCAGCAAGTCACTATGTATAAACACAAGATTAGTTCTTCGTTTAGAGAAAGTGATCGTTGCTCATTGCCCATTTGTTCATCAGAAGGAAGGAGGCTTATCATTAAGGGAAAAAAACACACGATGACTCATTGTCAACTCGAGATTAATGAGTGTCCATCCTTTTCATGACAGGATTGATCGTTTTTGTGTGCTCTACAGTAACAGTTCAATATCGCAAATATGGGTCAGGGAGACAGAGCAGCTAGTTCTCTGTACAGTTGGGTGTAGCAGTTGTGTGATCAAGAACAGACTTCAATATATATAGCACATATATAGTCACTTGTATAAAATTCTGCTTCAACGACTTGGTATTTGCACAACTATTCTCTGCAAGCCGATGATGTAATCGGTGTACAAGATGGAATTTCTTTGTTTCGGGGCAAGTAGAAGTGATCATAGTCGTTTGTTCATGTGAGGGAGACTCATAATTTCTTGGAACATGAAACTCGATGATGACTCATTGTCAGCACTGGTTCTCTATTGTCTTTCTCTTTCATGACTAAGTCTTAAGGATTGATCAGTTTTGTGTGTTTTTTCTTACATTATTTCAAAGTCAATTGGGGATTTAGGGGAAGAGCAGGCAGTCATTTGAAGTCCATTGGTGTAGGAGCTCTGAGATAAAGCAATTCTATGCAGTATTCATTATGAGATCAGAGTTCAGTGTGGGCATTACCACAGCATCATAATGACTATTTTCCAGTGTGGGCATTACCACAGCATCATAATGACTATTTTCAGGATCGATGATTTTTGGCCATTGAGTGTGTGAATAAATGATTATCATTGTTTTGGTTATAGCAGTTTCACCACGAGCAAATGTAAAAGTTTAGTACACAAGATGGAGAGATTCGTCTGTTTCAAGGCAAGTGGAGAATTGATCATTGCTCATTATCAATTTGAGGGAGGCTTGAAGAGAGATGACTAATTGTCAACACAGGTATGACTCTTTTTCATGATAGGTTTGATCAGTTCTGTGGGATTTCTCTTTTCAGTTAGAGTTCAGCACAGTTTAAGCCATGGGGATGCAGGGACAGAGTAGATGGTTCTTTGTAGTCAGTTGTTGTAGGAGTTGTGGGATGAAGCACGTTGATATTGGTAAATGAGTTCAATGCTGCCATTTGCACAGCACATAGTCACTTGTATGTGCCATTTCGATGACTTGGTATTGATGAATAATGCTGTTTGGCAACTACTTCAATAGTTTCAAACAAGCAGTTGATAGTCGGTACACAAGATAGATTTGAGGCAAGTGTTGCATCGTCTTTCACTGTTCATAGCGCTTTATCATTTCTTGAAGAGATCAGATTTTGAAATGGGTGTTTGTGCAGTGGCTATTGTCATTAAGGTTGTAGAGCGAAGTCATCCAATTTGAAAGCAGATGATAGTCAGTGTATGTCAAGGCAATTGCTTTTCATCCTTCAGTTTGTGTTCTCAAATCCACAGGAGAGGCAATGGAGGCAATTCTAAACTGATGAAAAGAAGAGCCCTTTGTACGTCAGACTAGTCTTTATGGACAGTTTTGTGATATTACAAGTCAGGGAGCACTCACAGAATATTATTGAACAATGTTCGATAGGCGTTTTGAGGGTGTTTGAAGTCAAGTTCTTGCATCATCATGCTTTACCAAAATCACATTGCATCAACAATGGATAAAACCTTGGGACTCCGTCTGTATTCAAGCTTTATGAAATTAATCAGCAGCATAATTGTCAAAGTCGGTTCTTTTTTATGTCTTCGACTGTTTTACAAGTAAGCAAAGGATCACAAATTCAGTGTTTGTTTTCAGGGGCAGCTGCATTTATAGGAGAGGGGATAGACTTTACACACACCCATGTTGGTCACTGAAAGGCAATGTCTTGTGAGGCATGTCAGCAAAACTTTAGATTCGAGAGGTATATCGATTCTTTTTCAGAACAATGGTTTCACTGTTTACCAGAACGATGTGATATAGGGGAGGTTTGGGTGGGTCTGTGTTGAATGATATTTACACCCATAGTGTGTTTTGCTAGTAGTCATAGAAGCTGATTGATCCATTGTTACACATCTATTTTACAATGAGACCTTGCCAGCAATTATTCTGTTGCTGATGATTTTAAGTGTGTTTTACTGAAGCACATGCTCACCATCAGCTATTTTGCTTCAATGAAGAAGTGATTTCTGGTGATTTTACTTCTTTGCAGGGGAATAATATAAATTTCGTTTTCACTTTGTTGGGTCACTAATAGAACAGAAGATGTTTCAGCATGATGACAGTGATGTATTGTGACAAATCAAGTTTGAAATGGGTGCTCTTAGTTAGCTCTTAATTGCTTCCTGGAGCACTATTATTAGCCAGTATTCCACAATCACAGAGTAGATGGGGTGAGCAAGATTTTTTAATTTTCATTTCACTTCATTACACAGCATACACACTCTTCTCTCGAGCAATAAGATATTTCAGAAGTGTGTCTTAGGATTAGACCATTAGTAGTCATGACTTGAAAAAAGTCAGAAGAAATTATTATTGGCAACTAATTTGCTACGTCTGTCAAAGTTGTAGAGACAATCTATTGATGGCGATTGGATTGCTAGTGAAAAAATGTGATTAGGGAGGGGAGGATTTCCATAGTCTAGCTATCATCCAGTCAGTGTTTTCGTACAGGTGTCATCTTTGAAAAGGTTAACGTAGATGATACACATTTGGTACATTGACACAGCTCTATACCAATAGTGTGTTAAGACACATCCCACACCAAGGTAAAGTTGGAAAAGCGGAAGTAACTTTTGAGGTATCTGGGGTTGCTTAATTCATTGATGCAGCTTGGTTCAGGGGACATTACACGTTACACTTTTCAATACTGATGATAGGAATCATAAGCTGTTCAGTAACACAGTGTTGGTGGTAAGATGAGCACACCATGGTAAGTAAACAATGCACAAGTAGCTTTTGAGCTAGTTGATGTAGCTTTGTTCAGTAATTATTTTCTTGAAGTGGCTTTGTTCAGAAATAACAGTTTCTTGTGAGATGTTATAATTATGGTAGCTACATATTTGTTAAAACTGTAGCTACTGATGGTGTTAATGTAAAGAATTGAATTTCATTGCAATATGATCAACTGCTTGCTCTTGGTCATAAAAATGCGTGCCATTTGTTCTAGTATGTCGAAAGAGGAAGTAAAAGTAACTTTGGAGGTATGTGAGGTACCTTTGTTCAAGAAGTGATAAAACAGTTTGATGGTTGAATGCTTTTAGTACACATTTGCAGTTATTCAGAGCAATTTTCATTAGGTTGTTGCACGTTTTCCAAGAGACTGGAATTGTCTAGGCACATGAAGCTCAATACAATATTTCAATGGGAATTGTGTGGGAAAGGACTTTATTTTCTCTTCAGTTGAGATTTGGCTAACGTGCTATATAGGCACAAACACATGGAACTCAAAAAAGCTGGATTACAAAACTAAACACAAAAGACAGCCAGTTATGTACACTGTTTGAAGAATAATTAGTGTCGCCCCTGGGGGGACGACTTACCCTGGAGGGACTGACACCGGAGAGATGACTCAATTTTAAAGGCAAGGTCTTTCATATCCATTTTTTTCAATACACTGAGAAAGGTGGCCCATGTTATCGGCCATTTCCCTTTACCTTGCAACCACTGTTTCGAAATTTCTTGGTTGATTACATGAGACTCTCTCATATACGTCTTCTGCAGGGCATCAGTTACGGATCCATCATTATCATTTAGCAGGAATGGTCCAAAAACATTGTAGCGAACACCAATTCTTGTAAGAATGTTAATTTTACTACCATCTAGCATTGGAAAAGCCATTAGTTGTGGTAGAGTGGGAGTATCTCTTAACGGCTGCAGGTATAAATGGACAAAGACAATGTAATTAAACTAAGTTTTTAGTACATGGGCCAAATGTGAAACACTCTTTTGTACAGGTACAGTAACAAAGATCCCATTTACACACATAGAAATGCATTGCAAATTCAAATTCCAGAACTGAGTGAGTTCTATAAGTGGAGATGTATAATGATTTCTAGCACATTCAGTTTTCTTTCCACTCTTAAATTACGAGCCATACTACGGTATATAACATGCACAGCAGACTAAAAACGTACATCAGCATATTGTTGACTGCCTTGAATTAACTGGCCTTTAAGTAGTCTGCAGTTATAAAATGACACGTCAACAGATGCTATTGGAAATGAGCTGACTTTCACTTACTTCCTTGATAGCTCATCAAAGCCGGCATTATTTAACAGTTGAGCAAGTTCATAACGAGTACCACCTTCACCCTCAACATAATCGGAGATGACAGCATATGCTGGCTCCCTGCTCCTTCTCGGGGCCCTTGCAATTTTTTTGAGTGTATATTGCATCTCCATTTCTTCAACAACATCAGATAAATCATTTTCTATCTCCTTGGCCACAAGCTTCATTTCAGTTTCAGTCAGAGAACCGTCCTCAACAGGAGACTGCATAGAGTGACACAATAGTTATATGTAGTAGAGATTATATGGGCCACACTCACATGCACTGGAAGTTCACTTGGAAATGGTAGCCAGAACCTTTGCTGAGGAGACAGTTCATACTCATTGTCATGAGCACAAAACAGATTGGACTCGCAAGAAACACCAGGCTTCAATGCTACGAAGTGCCTGGGAGCACTTTGTGAACATGTGCATGAAATGCCAGGTTGACTGTAACACACGGCATCCAGTCACGTACATTCTTGCACATGCTAACCAGCTCCCTCTGTAGCAAAATACACGACTCAGCAAATCTAATATTGTGTCTATTTCGCTCTGCCACTCGAAAAAACCTCACAGATATGCTTTCCAGTGATTCGGACACAATTATTCGGTCAATATCTCTGCACTTAAACAAAATACTATTTCGATACACCTCTCTATCTAAAAGTGGTGTGTAACCTTCCTGGTTAGACATGTGTGCAACTAATCGGACAAAAAAACCAGGCGGGACATAACCTGTACTAAAACACATATATAGAGTAGCTGCTTCGCGTATACAGGCTTTTTTGGTGGATACGAACTTTCTGTAGATTCTGATTTAGGCTTTACTTTCAACACGCAAGGCATGAAATACTTTCTCCCTCTGCTAGACATCATGTCATATGGACATTCATTTATTTCGGTTGCAAGATCAAAATGAAGAAGAACATCAACAAGAGCTTGTGGGCCCCCTTCTAGCCCACAATCTTTCCATATTTCCTGATATAACCCTTCAACAACAACACCTCTTTCTTCAAACCACTTCCAAAACCGTTTCAGATGCTGAGGTCGGTGACCAAACCAATCTGGCATTAGCAGAAGTCGTAACTGGTTAATAAGCCATTGTGGCTCAACTATTATCGTACCGGCAAGAGATGGTACATTCGCATAGTGTAAAAGTGCACCTAACTGGTGGTAAAATTGAAGCACACTTGGTACAACCTCTGTAGGAATTTTGCATTGCTTGGCAATGAAAACAACATCACTGTATAAAAGAATTGGCTTATCCTCAGCAACCTTTTGCAAAACCTGCCTGAAAGTAACCCAGGCCAGTGGAGTGTCTACCACAAGCGATTTTGCAAATTCATTGATATTTTCACGAATTCTTTTGTACCCAGGATCTTCTTCCTTACCCTTCCCAGCCTTAGTGTTGTCAACAAGGAGCTTGTCAACTATAATTTCACTAAATGAAGCATAATCAAAGGCAGACTGAAGTTGAGACTTTACACCCTCTTCTTCCTCTGGCGTTATTTGGTCTTTCCGTGAACCAACAAGCATGGCTCGAGGAAACTTTGGAATTTTACTAGAGCTTAGACTGGCCTGAAGTGGCAAGTGCTCTTTCTTTTCAATAAGGGAAGAATGGATTAGTTGCAACCATTGTATCAATAGCTGCAAGTGTGTGATATTTTGCTCCCTTCCCATAATAGGTTTACCATTGTGGTGCCATTTTTCTTGGTACATTTCCTCAAGATTAGAGGAAGCATCAAAAAGAAGAAGAAACATTGTGCGAGGGGTAAGAAATGCAGCAAGAATATCAAGAAATACGGGCTGCCCCCCACAGTCCCATATGTGCATTACAACATCTGGATTATGTTTCCCCTGTTGTTGTTCACTATGTTGCATTGCTTCTTTGATAATTTCATTATAGGCAGTGCTGGCTATTGCTGATACCTTCTCCCTATGCTCACGACTAACTTGTTTTCCACTACCTTGATGCTTTATATAAGCAACTGCACCAGCAGCCAAACCAAGGCTAAAAACGACAGCAGCCAAAGGCCATTTATCTATATAGGACCCTGCTTCTTCCTCTCCTCTCCTCTTTTTCAGAGCGAGACTATGAGAATGAGCTGCTAAACTTGTAGCCTCGTCAGAACTAGTATGCTCTTTCCAAGCCTCCTCACAACTATCTGCTGCTTTGATCCACTGAAATGACACAGTGCGTGTGTCAGCTACAGCTGTGGTTTCTGCCATTCTTAATGGAACATTCATAAGGCTATCGAGTAAGCTGCTCTTCCCCGAACCCCCTGCCCCCAGGAACATTAACCGCACATAAGCACCAGGAACAGCGCCTTTACTAAGAGCCTCAGCATAGTCATCTATCAATACAAAGAGCCAGCATTTTCACATCGATTTTAACAGAGTAAAGCCTGGTTCACAATTCACAATACGACGCTAAAGTCTATTCGCGTTCATCTTGCCGCCGGAAGTGCACTAGTCAAAACTGTTTACGCACGGTTGCGTCATAATTGAAATATCGCGAATATTTGTGGGCGGTGGATGTACGCTATGCCGCGCGTGCGTTGAATACGTTGTGGTTCCGTGAGTTTTTCTAGTAAAGACGGTTTATTTAAACAACAAACCTCTCATTCTTGCCTTTTCCTTGGTCTGGGCTCCCGCAGTAGCGGCGGGGAGAGAGGATTCTTGCTCGCGCACAAAGTGCGCACATTGGACCCGCGTGATTGCATTTTCGTGGTCAAAGGAACGTCGCGTACTTTGCTTACAGTTAAGTACGTGAGTGGGTGTTGGACGCGCTCGCAAAGCAGATAAATAGAACCTACGCTCAACTACAACCACGCTGCGCTTTGAAATTTCGAAATCGGTCGCTGTCTAGCTACATTACGGCAGATTTCCTACCGGCAAGGTGAACGCGAATAGACTTTAGACTTCCATTTCGTTTGTCAGTGAGCTGCGCTGTTGACAAAATTACATTAAAACTGTAGGAAACAAAATGAAAGTCTAGCATCGTATTGTGAACCAAACTTATTAAAGCCCAAAGTATTATAAAACAGAAACCGGCAAAATGAAGGCACAGCTTGTTCATTTGCAAAACAATACGAGGAATATTTCTGCAAATGTATCGCATACAATAATAAGGAACAAAAGTAAGCATCGCAATTATTATAGGGATGGAAATTTGAAATGGAGTCAGATAATATCATGGGGAAAAGGCAGTGTTTTGATTATTTCACATACAGTAGAATACACTTACAAATTATGTACAGAAGTTACTTCTTTTTTTACCTTCCAGTCTCTGCAAATAAAAAATGCCAAACTAAATCTACAAAGTAGTAACTATTTTTCTTGTGCATTCGTGTCATGCTCATGCCTAATGCCATGGTAATGTTTATAAACATAACCAGCATTGGCCACACTCACTGTTGCATGCAAAGGAAAACACATACTATGAATGTAACTCAGCAATACTAGTCTGCCTACAATTTACACTGAGTGAACACAAAACATACCTGCACTAAAATACGTTAGACCGTGCAGCTAGGACTGGCCATCAATACGGTGCTTAATGAGCACGCGTAAACATCAACAATAACAACCAACATGCTTTTCATTGTGGGAAGTAACGAACAAGGCACTTACTTTCTGTTGCTGTGCGGGTAGAGGTGTCGTAGAGGAAGTAAAGAGAGACACATGAGCATTAAGTACTCATGCCTAAAACAAGAGAACTTACCAACTGTTGTTGTGCAGGTAGAAGTGTCATGGAGGAAGTAAAGAGAGAAACGTAAGCATTAGGTACTCATGCCTAAAACAAGAGAACTTACCAACTGTTGTTGTGCAGGTAGAGGTGTCGTGGAGGAAGTAAAGAGAGAAACGTAAGCATTAGGTACTCATGCCTAAAACAAGAAAACTTACTTTCTGTTATTGTGCAGGTAGAGGTAACGTGGAGGAAGTAAAGAGAGACACGTGAGCATTAAGTACTCGTGCCTAAAACAAGAGAACTTACTTCCTGTTGTTGTGCAGGTAGAGGTGTCATGGAGGAAGTAAAGAGAGACACGTGAGCATTAAGTACTCATGCCTAAAACAAGAAACTTACTCTCTGTTGTTGTGCAGGTAGAGGTGTCGTGGAGGAAGTAAAGAGAGACACGTGAGCATTAAGTACTCGTGCCTAAAACAAGAGAACTTACTCCTGTTGTTGTGCAGGTAGAGGTGTCATGGAGGAAGTAAAGAGAGACACGTGAGCATTAAGTACTCGTGCCTAAAACAAGAGAACTTACCTCCTGTTGTTGTGCAGGTAGAGGTGTCATGGAGGAAGTAAAGAGAGACACGTGAGCATTAAGTACTCATGCCTAAAACAAGAGAACTTACAGTCTGTTGTTGTGCAGGTAGAGTGTCGTGGAGGAAGTAAAGAGAGACACATGAGTATTAAGTACTCGTGCCTAAAACAAGAGAACTTACCAACTGTTGTTGTGCAGGTAGAGGTGTCGTGGAGGAAATAAAGAGAGACACGTAAGCATTAAGTACTCGTGCCTAAAACAAGAAAACTTACTCTCTGTTGTTGTGCAGGTAGTGGTGCCGTGGAGGAAGTAAAGAGAGACACATGAGCATTAAGTACTCGTGCCTAAAACAAGAGAACTTACTTCCTGTTGTTGTGCGGGTAGAGGTGTCGTGGAGGAAGTAAAGAGAGACACATGAACATTAAGGACTCGTGCCTAAAACAAGAGAACTTACATGCTGTTGTTGTGCAGGTAGTGGTGTCGTGGAGGAAGTAAAGAGAGACACATGAGCATTAAGTACTCGTGCCTAAAACAAGAGAACTTACAGTCTGTTGTTGTGCAGGTAGTGGTGCCGTGGAGGAAGTAAAGAGAGACACATGTAAGCATTAAGGACTCTCCTAAAACAGAGAACTTACTGCTCTGTTGTTGTGCAGGTAGGTGTCGTGGAGGAAGTAAAGAGAGACACGTGAGGCATTAAGTACTCATGCCTAAAACAAGAGAACTACATCTGGTGTGTGTGCAGGTAGAGGTGTCGTGGAGGACGAGTAAGGAGAGACACGCGCACGCATTCAGTGCCGTGCCTAAACAAGAGAACTTACAACTGTGTTGTGCAGGTAGAGGTCGCCATGGAGGCAGTAAGAGAGCACACGCGAGCCATTAAGTCACTCATGCACTAAAACAAGAGAACTTACCTCCTGTTGTTGTGCAGGTGGAGTGTCGTGGAGGAAAGTAAAGAGAGACTGCAAGCATTGAAGTACTCGTCACTACAACAAGAGAACTTACATTCGTGCTGTTGTGCAGGTAGAGGTGTTCGTGAGGAAGTAAAGAGAGACACGCAGAGCATTCAGTACTCGTAGCCTAAAACAAGAGAACTACTTCACTGTTGTTGTGGGGTCAGATAAGAGTGTCGTGGAGGACGTAAGAGAGACACGTGCAAGCATTAAGTGCTCGTCACTAAAACACGAGAACTTACTCTCCTGTTGTTGTGCAGAAGAGGTGTCATGAGGAAGTAAAGATAAGACACATGAGCATTAAGTACTCGTGCCTAAAACAAG